TGCTGGCGCCAGCCTGGAGCCCAACTGTGCGTATACCTGGGGGACAAGGTGGGGAGAAAGAGGAGCACAATGTCAAGATGGGGCAGAGCTGAGAAGAACCTGGGCAGAAGTAAGCAGAAATGAGGGAGTGTTGAAGTGGTTCGAGAGAGACTGGCCAAGGACAGAGAGATGTGGCAGAGGAGGATGGAAAATGGAGAGTGCTGGACAAGAGGCAGAGAGAATAGGGAAAGAGGGGCAGCGATGGGGACACGGGAACCAGAATGGACGAGGGGCGAAGAACTGAAAGAGATGGAATGATACCTGGAAAAGAATGAGGAGGGGAGATAGGTGGAGGTGGGAAGCCCAGAGGAGGGGCTGTTCATGAAGCTGGCAGAGGGCTGTCCCAGAGACCCACTCACCCACCCCCACAGACCTCCTTGCTGTTGCTGCTGCTGCTGCTGCTTCTGAGCCCCGGCCTTCGAGGGACCCAGAACTGCAACTTTGAGCACAGCCCCATCACCTCCAACTTTGCTGTCACCATCCGCAAGCTGGTGAGTGTCCCTGCCTCGGACCTCTCCTGCAGTTCCTTTTTGAGGCCAAAGTTCTGTGGCTGGGTCTGAGTTTCCCTTCTCTGGGTCTCTCCCTCCATCTCTGAGTCGCCATAGTTCTGTTTCCCCCCATTTCTAGCCAGACCTGACCCTGTTTTCTCCCACAGTCTGACTACCTGCTTCAAGATTACCCTGTCACCGTGGCCTCCAATCTGCAGGAGGTGAGTCACAGAAAGGAGGGGCCTGGGATGGAGGTAGGAACCACAGACTCAAGATGCACCACCCTTCGGGGACCAGTCTAGTTGGCCAACTGGGTCCCTCCTCCCTAGACCCAGCAGTCCAGGCCCCCAGCCCCTCCTCCCTCAGGCCCACAGGTGGGATGTCTCTCCCCAGGAGGAGCTCTGCGGGGCCCTCTGGCGGCTGGTCCTGGCCCAGCGCTGGATGGAACAGCTCAAGTCTGTGGCTGGGTCCCAGATGCAAGTCCTGCTGGAGGCTGTCAACACTGAGATACACTTTGTCACCACATGTGCCTTTCAGGTCAGCTTTGAACTTGGGGGACAAGTGAGGGGAGTGAGATGTCTTCCTAGGGATTGGAAGTAAAGCTCTGCTAAGCCCTTCTGGACATTTCTTCTGATCATAGCAACCCAGGTAGAGCTAGAACCCCAATCCCCCAGGGGCTCTGTTGCTGAGGAATAACACATCTCTAGGCACTGGAGGATGGTAAAGAGTCTGAACCCAGTTCTGGGGCCCAGATTTCTTAGGGTCTATTGCTGGGCATTGCTAAGGACGCTTCCCCCTAGCAACCATGGGCATTAAGGGTCTAAACTCTCTCTGAGACCCAGGCTCACCAGGTCCTGTCCCTGGACGTTGCTAAGGAAGCTTCCCCCTAGCAATGGGAGGCAGTGGGGTCTAAACTATCTCTGAGACCCAGGCCTCACTAGGCCCTCCAGCTGGGCGTTGGCAGCAGGGAAGGGTCTTGGCCTGAGGATATGCTGGAGGGTAATGTGGTGGTGACATCTCCCTCCCCTGCCCCCAGCCCCTCCCCAGCTGTCTTCGCTTCGTCCAGACCAACATCTCCCACCTCCTGCAGGACACCTCCAAGCAGCTGATGACTCTGAAGCCCTGGATCACCCACCGAAATTTCTCTCGGTGCCTGGAGCTGCAGTGTCAGCCCGGTAAAGTCTCCTAGTCCCTCAACCCACCACCCTACCTGGTCCTCTCCCATCCTCACAGTCCCTCACCTCTCTTCTCAGTGTGTTTCAGAGCCCACCCTGCTCCCATTGGCTGTGGGGGCTAGCCAGTTAGCTCAGGTGGTTAGAGCGCAGACATAACCCCACGATCACAGGTTCAGATTCCCATTCTGGCCAGACACAAAAAAAGAAAGAAAAAGATTTTTTTCCCCAGGACTTTTAATGTTTGTTATTTTTTAGCAAGTTAATGGTTGTTTTCTTTTTTAAACTTTTTTCTTTGGGAATAATGATAGATTCATAGGAAAGTGCAAAGAAATGGACGGGGAAGTCCCTTGTACCCTTCACCCAGTCTCCCCAATGTTATATTTTGCTTGTTAATAACTATGGTACAAAATCAAAACCAGGAAATTGACATTGGTCCAACCCTTAGAACTTACTTAGATTTTACCAATTATGATGCACATATGTGTGTGCATATTAGTTGGCTAGGACTCCTGGAACAAAGTACCACAAACTGTGTGATTTAAACAACAGAAATTGATTGTCTCACAGTTCTGGAGGCCAGAAGTCCAAGATCAAGATATGGGCAGAGGTGGGGGAGGTGGGCTGTGAGGGAAGGATCTGTTCCATCTTCATGTTCATATGATGTTCTCCCTTTGTGCACATGTCTGTATCCAAATTGCCCCTTTTTATAAGGACACCAGTCATATTGGATCCAGGCCCTCCCTCATGATGTCATTTTAAAGGCCCTATCTCTAAATCAGGTCACATTCTGAGGTTCTAGGGGTTAGGACCTCAATATATAATTTTTTTCTTTCCTACATTTATTTTCTATTCTTTATTTTTTATTGTTGTTTTTAATATAACTCCGACCCCGTGGCCTTGGTGTTATCAGCACCGCACTCTCCCAAGTGAGCCACGGGCCGGCCTTTTAATACCATCCCTATGTGGGATCCGAACCCTTGGCCTTGGTGTTATCAGCACTGCACTCTCCCGAGTGAGCCACAGGGCCGGCCCTTAATATAAATTCTTTAATTGCAAGTTTATATAATTTAATATTTTTTTGGCCACAAAATAAGTCGGTGCATTTTATTTATTTTTTTTATTTATTTATTTATTTTTTTTTAAAAAGATGACCGGTAAGGGGATCTCAACCCTTGGCTTGGTGTTGTCAGCACCACGCTCACCCAGTGAGCTAACCGGCCATCCCTATGTGGGATCCGAACCCTTGGCCTTGGTGTTATCAGCACCGCCCTCTCCCAAGTGAGCCACGGGCCGGCCTTTTAATATAAATTCTTTAATTGCAAGTTTATATAATTTAATATTTTTTTGGCCACAAAATAAGTCGGTGCATTTTAAAAGACTAAGATCATAGAAAATTTGTCCTCTGACCACAATAACATAAGGAAACTTAGAATATTCACAAATGTGTGGAAATTAAACAACTCTCCTAAACAATGAGTAAAAAGAAAAATCACAGGGAAATTAGAGAGAACTTTGAGATAAAAACCAAAGCACAACATATCAAAACTTATAGGATGCAGGGTTCATACAGTGCTTAGAGGAAAATTTATACTTGTAAAACCTATATTAAGGGGCCGGCCTGTGGCTCACTCGGGAGAGTGCGGTGCTGATAACACCAAGGCCCTGGGTTCAGATCTCATATGGGGATGGCCGGTTAGCTCACTGGGTGAGCGTGGTGCTGACAACACCAAGCCAAGGGTTGAGATCCCCTTACCGGTCATCTTTTAAAAAAAATAAAAAACCTATATTAAAAAATAAGAAAAATCTCAACTCAGCAATGTAAACTTCTTCCTTAAAGAAATAGAAAAAGAAGGGCCGGCCCGTGGCTCACTCGGTAGAGTGCGGTGCTGATAACACCAAGGCCGCGGGTTCGGATCCCATATGGGGATGGCCGGTTGGCTCACTGGCTGAGCGTGGTGCTGACAACACCAAGCCAAGGGTTGAGATCCCCTTACCGGTCATCTTTAAAAAAAAAAAAAAAATAGAAAAAGAAGAACAAACTAAGCCAAAAGTAAATATAAGTAGAAATAACAAAAATTACAACAGAAATATATGAATAGGAAATAAAAAAAAACAATACTCAACATAACGAAAAGTCGATTCTTTAAAAAGATCAACAAAATTTGCAGACCTTTATTTAGACTGACCAAGAAAAAAAGAGAGAAGACCAAAATTACTAAAATCAGAAATAAAACAGGGGCATTATTTCATTGTCATTATGGTTTTTTGTGGTGGTGAGATTAGGTTTCTTTCTCTTTCTCGTTAACATTTTTGTTCTACCAGTGGGTTTTGTTCTTTCTTGTGTATTCATGGTAGTGGTTATTGTTTTTTGGATTCCACATGTAGGACTTCTTCTAGGATTTCTTGCAGGACTGGTTATGTGTTGGCGAACTTCTGCAGTTTTTGTTTTTCTGGAAAATGCACTACTTTTCCCTCATTTCTGAAGGCTAGCCTTGCTGGGTTTAGTATTCTTGGCTGGCAGTTTTTTTCTTTTAGTATTTTTAATACATTATCCCATTTTCTTCTGGCCTGTAGAGTTTCTGTTGAGAAGACACGCTCCCTTACAGGTGACTTGACACTTTTCTTTTGCTTCTTTCAAGATTCTTTCTTTGTCTTTGAGCTTTGCCAGTTTGACTATACTGTGTCTTGGAGAGGATCTTTTTGGGTTGAATCTGGGGATCTTTGAGCCTTCTGGATCTGAAAGTTCGTGTTTCTCCCCATACCTGAGAAGTTTTCTGTTATTATTTTGTTGAATAGGTTTTCCATGCCTTTTCCTTTCTCCTCCCCTGCTGAAACCCCCATGATTCAAATGTTTGTGGGCTTAAGGTTGTCTGCTGGCTCTCTTAGATTTTCTTCATTTTTTTAAACTCTTCTTTCCTTTTTTTTGTCTTCCTGGGTTATTTTGAAAACACTGTCTTCAAGATCAGAAATTCTTTCTTCTGCTTGTTCTAGCCTGCTGCTTAAACTATCTGTTGTGTTTTTTATTTTGTTGAGTGAATCTTTCAGTTTCATGAGTTCCGCTACATTTTTTTTTTTTTGTCCTTTTTTTTTTTTTTTTTTCCCCTTTTTGTCTTTTTTCGTGGCCGGCAACGGATCGCAACCCTCAGTGTCGC